AGGATCAGTTAACACTTGTTAGTTGTACCAATAATTATCAACATGAAAAAAATTGTCTCGGTGAGAGATGGAGGATTTGTGAGCAAGGCGGTCAAGACCGTGCTGGTGAAACCCACAAAGACAGCTGACTGGGCAAGGGGGAGCTCTTGAACCCCAGAATGATGACTAAGAGGCCAACATGGGTCTGATCCAGACTCCATGAATGTAGTGTCAGTGAGGAGGCCTCAGAAGTCTCTGGGCTTTGGGTAGTAGACTAGTGTTCACCATGGCATATAAATGAACTTTGGGAGCCCATTCCACATGAAGGGATGCTCTCTCAGCCTGGACACATGGGGAAGGGCCTAGGTCTTGCCCTGGATGAAATGACAGACTCTGGAGATCCCCCTCAAGGAGGGCCTTACCCTCCCTGGGGAATGATGTGGGGATTGGGGAGGTGGGGGAGTGGGGGTGGGACTGGTGGAGGGAGAAGGGGATTGACATTTGAAGCATTCATGTTTCTAATTTAAATAAAAAACATACATAAAATAAAAAATGTCTCTGTGGTTGAAAACTTGAAAAGACAAATTTAAGAGTTGATTTGGGGTCCCATTGTCTGAGTGCAAAGCAACTGACAAACTAACCTGAATGTGACCTTCGCAGATTTTTTAAAAGAATCTTTCATCACACTTACTTAAAGCTGCTTCTGCAGTGTGTTCACACTTTCAGGTTTTGTCCACGCTCCTTTCTGTTCCATTTCAGAACAATCCTTTTATTTTTAAGTAAGTTACTACCTAAAACCCTTTAATCTAAAGTATTTCCTTTTCTTTTAAGTTTCTTTACCCAACCTACATTTCCAAACCTATTGCCTTCCATCTCCCTCTTTCATGCTTAATGATTCTGTCTTTTTTTTTCTTTTCACAAAATTTAGAAAATATTTTTCTAAATAACTATATTTGGGTGAAAACTCACAAAACTGTAACTATAACACAGGTGGAACATGTTAATAGCTTAAAGACACGACCTTTTCTTCTAACAAATGTAAGTTAATGAATTTGGTGAGGATTGCAATGCTATTCCCACAGGCTCTTGGGAGCTGCTTTTGTCAACAGGCAACCAGCAGCTTTATTTGGGCCCAGAATGCAACACCCCCCCACCCCGCCCATGAAGGACAAAGTCTTCCTTTTTTGTATCTGTTTCCTTTTCTTCCTGTTAGCTGTATCTCACATGTGAGCATGCTAGCCACTCATGGAAGACTGAAAGCACAAAGAGAAGTTATTGTTTAAAGCCTTGGATTCCAGGAAGAATAAAACTTAGCAGGCCCAACTCCAGATGAGAACAGTCATCCATGAAAGTGGGGCCACACCCCAGAGCATGAGCAATTATCCCTTGAAAGCCAGCTGTCCCTCCAAGCAATAAGGAATTATTTTAACCACACCGTAGAACCAGAACAGAAGAAATCAACAAGATCACAGCTTGACCGAGACTACCCAGTTACAGACACCTTTTTGTCAATTGCTTTAATCCCTTCTCTACTTAAATCTAAAGTTCTTGTCAGTCCCCAGATGGACCCCGGAGACACCAAACCTCTGGATTTGTTCCTGCTTTCTGACCTTCATTGGAACTCATCTCTTTACCTGTGAATGGGGAACAGTAGCCAAGCCAACCCTGCAGGGGTTGCCAAGGCCAGGACCTGTGTTCTAAAATGCCTGCCACACTATGAACTAAAAAGAATTTGGCCTAATTGAACATTTTCATTTACATAACAACTTTGGTGCCATGTAAATAATATCTAAACACAAGCACACATGATTAGCTGTAGGTAAAAACAGACCACAGATTTCACTTACGTTTATTGTCTGTTAGGCTGTAGTTACATTACATTGGGGATCTGATTATTTCCTCTACAGCACAAAACAAGCCTTATTCTAAAGTCTGTCCCTCCACATGTACCCTTAGCAACAAAAGCTAGAAAAATGTATCTCAAAGGTATAGAACTTAAGCTAATTATTGACAGGGCTTGTGTAGATAGCCAGTGAAAGCCAACGAATGAGGCTTGTACAGAACTTCAGGTTTTTTCCTGTTCTAAATACTGAACCACAGAAGGAGAGATGATGCCTTTAAAGATTAAAATTTACTGAAATATCATTTTGAATCATATTCTTCCACTTTTTAACTTACACTGAGACTAAACTATGTTCCTTTTTGTTAAAGTTAAGACCTTTCTTTTTGTTTAAACAGAAAAGAGGAGATGTTGGGGAAGTCCTGTGTATATGTCAATAAAGCACTGCTGGCCAATAGGAATCTAGATAGGTGGGGCTAGGAATCCAGGAGGATTCTGGGAAGGAGAAACACAGGAGAGTCAACATGTAACGCCATGGGGTAGGAGCCCAGAACTATTCTCTGGTAAGAGACATACTTAGATTAACAATAAACACACAGGAGGCTATATTAGTTATGAAGCTGTTGGCCTTTGCTTGTTTCTTACTGGCTAGCTCTGACTTAAGTAATTACCCCATAATTGTTAATCTAAGTATGTCTCTTACCGGAGAATAGTTCTGGGCTCCTACCCCTTGGCGTTACATCTCAAACCCTTTGTGTTTCTCCTACCCAGAGTCCTCCTGGACTCCTAGTCCCTCCTATCTAGATTCCCCATTGGCCAGACAGTACTTTATTGACAAATGCACAGGACTTCCCCAACACCTTTTGTTTGTTTGTGTATCTATATGAAAACAGCCTAGATTGGACAATCTAATAACGGGTCTCACAGTCATTAACAGACTAAATTGTAGGGGAATAACGTCTTCCCTGGGCTTCACTGGACACCTTCTCTGTCTGAACTGTGTCTCTTTGCAATAGTTTAAAGAGATGGTTACAGCCAGCAGATGGGACTTGAACCATCTCAGGAAATGAGATCATGGAGTCTAAATTTGCCTATTTGGGTATTGGAGAGTTCTAGAAGCCTCCTCTGGTGAGACTCTGGAATTAAAATGGGATCAGAATCTTCAGCAGAAGAATATTTTGCCTTGTAAAACACTGGCAAGGAGATTGCGGAGTTCCCCATACAGAAAGCAGACAAAATAGGAACAGCTGTAAGGACTAATAGGAAGATTTTTAGGGTCAAAGAGAGGAACTAGAGCATGTCAAGCACAGAAACAGCCTTTCCTGGGGTGTTTCGGGTACAACACGTGCTGTTTAATGAAGTTTGAGACTCTGGGTGTCACACCATAGTCAGTTCCCACCAACAGGGTCTCCAATGGCTCTTCCAGGGGCCAAAGAGTAGTGTGAGTTATTGGTGGAACAGTCCTTATAGTGGTGTCCTTTTGGACCAGCATGATTGTGCCATCTGACCCAGGAGAGGAGTATGGATGGCTCCAAGGAGATTCCTCTCTTCAAGGCCAGCATCATTCATCAAAAACTATGTGAGTCTCTGGCCAGAAACAGAGAGAAAGAAATGAGAGCTATGTGTAAGCCAAAAGGGTAGAGCAGAGCAGCTAAGTGGTCATCAAGGAAATTCAACAACACTGCTTCGGAGATGGTCTGTCCCTCTGTGGTCACCAGGAAAGACATCAGTATCAGTAGAGTGTGAATCGACACACAGCTCCTGGGGAGCTTTGCTTTGGTTTTGGATTTTTTGAGACAGGGTTTCTCTATGTAACTGCCCTGGTTGTCTGGGAACAAGCTCTGTAGACCAGACTGGCCTCGAACTCAGGGATCCGCATGCCTCTGGCTCCCCAGTGCTGGGATTAAAGGTGTGAGCTGTCTGGAGAGTTCTTTTCAGAAACCTTAGCACAGGAGAAACAGGATGTTTGACTGCAGGTCGTAAAAGAATTTCAGAGGCAGGCAAGATGAAGCTGAGTTATATATATATATATATATATATATATATATATATATATATATATACATATATATATAATGTCTATGTGTGGGTGTGTGCATGCATGTACAAGCACCCACAGATTCCAGAGGCATCAGTCAAATCCTCTGGATCTGGAATTATGGGCAGTTGTAAGTTTCTCGTGTGGGTGCTGAGAACTGAACTCCAGTCCTTGGCAACAGCAGTTGGTGCTCTAAACAATTACGCAGTCTCTTCAGACCTAGGGTTGGGGTTTATCAAGAAAAGAATTTTTAAAACATATACTCAAATGTGTGAACAGACACACTTAGGAAATGGACAGCACACACTTGGGTGTAGGCCTGGGCTTCCTAAGAGAGTCATGTTCAATTAGAATTAAGTTGTTACAACAGCCACACACAACTTTGGTGGCTTCAGAAGTTACATCCCAAAGGGCTGCTAAGAGCTTTGTTTTCTCTTTTTCCGTAAATGAGAATCAGGGAGTGGTTCTTGAGGTGCATTGGGTAGGATTACAGCTGATATAATAATGTCCTAGGTCATGAGGAGCCCACCAAGGACATTAAGATACATTTTTACTATAATCAAATTTGTAGTCTTATTTCTAAGATTCTCAGAAAATTCCGTGTTCACATGTGGGAAGAGAATTGGGCCCTGCTTAAGGATCAAATATAAAAGAACATAGTTCATTGCTATTTAATAAGTATATAAGCAGCATAATCTGTTGCCATAATAACACTCTTGTTTAAAATATCTCTGTATACAGGAAACGTTTCTCTATAGGCAACTTTTTTTGTTGTTAATTATGCTGGAACTCTTGACTCTCAGTTTGTAACATGCTTCACATGTTCTGGGCAGAGCTTACAAAACCCCAGAAAAGATCCCAAATGACCATAATTTTCCATACTCACTTCCAGGTTAGCTCCTACTTAGCAGCTGTGCTCACACGCAGGCCTTTATCTTCAACCCCAGTGAGGGGTTCCTTTCCTTCCCACATCCCCTTTATTTTCCCTGTCTTTCTAATCTTCGCACCCACTTCCTCTTGCATTCTTGGTCCTCGACTTCCTGTTGCATTTTCAGTCTTGTTCCCTCTTTTGGAACTGGTATGTTGACTATTATACAGCTAGGAACAGCATTCTAAACCCTGGGACTTCCTGCTCCTCCTAGCATATAAATACCAAGGCAAGCCAGTGCATCAGAGAGCAGTGAGCAAAGGTCCTCAGAGCAGCTGGGCCTGCCTTTCAGGAGGATGAGGAACTTGGGGGCTGCCATGTCATTCTTCATCCTTGGGGCTGTCCTTGGATCCCAGGCTGGGATCATACAGGGTGAGTTCACTGCAGCTTCACACCTGTGGGAACTGCAGAACTGGAAAGGAGATAGAGGAGGGGGCCACTGTCCTCCTGGAAATGTTCTCCCTCCTTGACATTGTGATGGGGTTTACATAGAAACAGCATTGGGTTACAGACCTGCCTCTGTCTGTAGCCTTTAGACCCTGGAGGAAAATAGACATAAATGCTGGGCCCCATCTGGGGAAACAATTATGTTTGATACATTTTCCTTTAGCTGACATAGGACTGTGCTAACTCTGAAGAATGGGAGTGAAATTTTAAGTCTGAGGAGAAGCCAACTTATATGATAAAGTATCAGACACCACCTCCAATAACTCATTTTGGAGAAGTGGGATGGGTAATCAACTCTACCCAAGATCATTTAACCATGCTATTCTTTTATTTGACAACTGCATATCCAGCACTTTTTATATGCTAAACAGCTGCAGTTCTGTTTGTCTTATGGCTGTTAGCACATTGATTCCTCCTAACAAGCCTGAGGGGTAGACATCATATTAAACAATGGAAATTGGCCTTTCTGTAACGGAAAACAACAGTTGGTGATTTTATATGTTTTTCTATAATACTGTAATTACTGTCATTTTATAAATGAGAAAACTAGATCATGGAAGTCATAGTCTTAAGATTAAGGCTGGTAAGAGGTGGAATTGGAGTAAGAGCTATCCTGAATGGGGTATACAAAGACGTGGTCATTTAGTATCTTTCCTGGGTTTTGCAAGCTCCACTAGAACAGTTGAAGCATGCTATAGCATATCCACATGCCTCTTTTATGTAAGCCATGCTGACTACATCATCTCTTGGTGTCCTGGAGGCACAATTCCTGGACCCCATGTGAATATCAACATCCACAGATTTCCTGTCCATTTATAATCTATGCACATACTCATCTGTGCATTTAAAATCCCTAGACATTTGTAAGACTTAAAACAATTCAACCAGTGAATACTCATTATAAGGTTGCTTAGGGAACAATGGCAAGAAGGGGTCTCTAGTGCTTCAATTATGTTTCAGGAAAATTTTCCATGGTTGACTCTGGATGTGGAGGCTCCAAATATGGTAGGCCAACTCTATAAAAGGAACAAGCTAAGAATGCTGGAAAACAATAGTAGGATGAGGTGATAGCTTAATCCTTACTGCCAAACTCATTATGTTTTGATATAAGAAGCAAATACTAATTTTTTAGTTTGATTTTAGTTTTATTTTTGTGCATGTGTGTGCTGAGTGTGTGCACGCACATGTGTGCAGATGCCTTTGGAGGCAGAAAAAGGTGTTGGATTCCCTGGAGCTAGAGTTACATGCAATATAAGCCACCTGACATGGGTGCTAAGAACTGAACTCTAGCCCTTTGTGAAAGCAGCAAGTGCTTTAACTACTGAGGCATCGCTCCAGCCAACAAATATCAGCTTTTGGGGAGAGATAGAATTTGAGACAGGGTTTCTCTGTATGGCCTTGGGGGTCTTAAAACTCACTCTGTAGACAGGCTGGCCTCAAACTCATAGAGGTTGCCTGCTTCTGCCTCCCTAGTGCTGGTAATAAAAGGTGTGCACCACCACACCCAGCTTCAGTATCAACTTTTAAAGCTATCTTTTCAGCTGTGATGACCTAACTTCAAGTTAGAAAAGAGGGAAGTGAAAGAGGGAGAAAGGAAAGGAAAAGAAGGAGGGAGGAAGGGAGCTAAGGATAGAAGACAGGAGGGAGAGGGGGAGGGAGAAAGACGAAGGAAGGGCTGGTTGAGTTGCATTTGACTAATTATCACAAGGCAGGTTTACAATAATTTATCCAAAATCTTTGGAGCTACATGAATTTTGCAGTGCAGAAGTAGAGTTTTGACAAGTTAATATAACACAATGATTCCACTTCTGGGTATTGACCAAAAACTTCCAAAGTGGATAGGTGGAAAGATTTTGAGACACTCATGTTTATAGAGGAATTATTTGCACTACTCAGAAGGAGGAGACACTACATACCCATCAGTAGATGGGTGGATAAGTACAGTGTGATAGGCATACTCCCACAGGGGAATACTACTTAGTGTTGAGAGGGAAGGGCGTTCTGGTGTGCACAACAAAATGGATGAACACTGAGGAATTACTGTGGTGAGTGGAATATGCCAGTCACAAAGGGCAGATAGCCTGATTCCATACACATGCGTTACTTAAAGAAGTCGAGTTGTAAAGACAAAAGGGGCACAAGGTAGCATGAACCTATAAGGTGGAAGGATGGGGAGTTTGAGGTCAGTCTGAGCAACACAGCAACACTTTGTCTTTAAACAAGAAATCAGAGAGTAAAGTGATAATTGCTAAGTTAAGAGTGGGAAAGATGGGGGTAATACTTAATGGGTTTTGAATTTCAGTTTTGCAGACTGGAGAAGTCATGAGTGGATGGGGTGGTAGTTACACACTAGTTTGAATGTCATTAAACTGTACGCGTTAAAATTATTTAAAAGGCTGAGGAGGAATGAATTGGGGGGAGAGGGGAGGTAAGGGGTACTAGGAGGAGAAGAGGGAGAGGAAACATCAGTTGGGATGCAAACACAAAAAAAAACAAAAATACTTAAAATACATATATTTAAATGAGACTGGCAAGATGGTTCAGTAGTAAAGACTCCTGCCTTGCAAGCTTGGTGACTGGAGTTAGATTCCCCGGAACCTACATAAAGGTGGAAGAAGAGAAATAGCTTCCAAAACTAAGTTGTCTTCTGATCTCCACATGCACACCCACATCACACACACACCCACATACACAGCCACACACACACACACACACACACACACACACACACACCTGACTGCTTGTTATCCTAGCTCTGACCTAGGAAACATACTGTAATCAAAGTAATATTCCTATAACATATATATCTTTATACTAATGGAGCAAGCATAGTAAATACACACACACACACACACACACACACACACACCAAAAAAAGCCTTCACTACACTATTGAGTAAATCTTACCACCAAATGGTTTGCTAGAAAATTTATGTCTAGAGTCCTATAGATTCCAGATGTGTAGACACAAGACCTATCACACAATGCACTTTCAGGAAACTTATCTGCATTAGATTTGCCACTAGTTTTTAGTTATTTCAGAATCTACAGAATGTTTTCATTTCTCAAATGTTTTTGAAGGATCACAGGGCAGGGAACATCTCATAGCAAAAGGACATACTATTCCGGGACAGACCTTTGACCCAGATAGGTTAGCAGAGATCCAGCAACAGAACCTGCCTGCCTTTGGATGGGAGGAGAGTAGGGCATAGTGGTGGACATAGTACTCTTTGCACTCAGAAGACCAGATCAGTATAATTGAGAGTTCAAAGCTATCCTGATAAGAATGGCAAGACCATTCTTCATGCACCAAAAACTGGAGTTGAAATATGTAGTGAGTGGAGGGGCTAATATAATGCTGCCAGCCATGACATTCCCCACCCTGTCTGTTTCTTCCAGACACGGTAAGAGAAAACAGGAGGGAAATTCATCACTTTGAACCTCCAGCAGTTCAACAAGGTAAATGACCAGATATGACATATTTTAAAGGATTGGGTGGATACTTTACTATAGTTTCACTTTGCTTACTGATGGGACAGGATGGGAGGGCCCTGAGGATGGCGAAAATCTCTGCAAAGAGCAGCACAGCCATGGGACTCACTCCAGTGACACCTTCTCTACATATACCTGGGTGCCCTGAGTCAACTGTTCAGAGCAGAAGCATGTCCCGAGTCCTGGGCCTCCTCACCCTCCATGGGACCCCCTCAGCACTCTTAAGAGCAACGATCTAACCCTTGAGTGGACCTGTATCTTCCTACAGGTATTCAAGATGCTCCAGACTGCTGCTTCTCCTATGTCTCAAGGATTCCATGTTCAAAATTTATATATTATTTTCCAACAAGTGGTAGATGCATTAATTCAGGCATCATGTAAGTGTCAAACTCACTCACAGGGTGTTAGGGGAAGGGGGAGCCTCCGGGACCTTAGATGACCTAGTGGACAGGCTTCCAGAAAAGAGCCATCCTTGGATCTCACCAGGTAAGGGGGAAGATAGTTCAGGGTGTAGAGAGGAAAACAGCAGGCAGAAGTCTGCTGGTATCACTCCATGAGTTAGAGAATCTCACAGGCCTAAAGAAGGCCCCAGAGAAGAGGCGATGCTGAGACATCTCCTAGAAAGAACAGATTGTTGAGTAGAAAATCAGAGGGTCCAGAGGATGGGGTTCCCCTTCCCTATTTACTAGAGACCTCTGTTTGTAATCTTTCTTCCCCCCTTTTCTCCAGCTTTGTCACCAAGAGGAGGAACCGGGTCTGTGCCAACCCCAGTGATTGGAGAGTTCAGGAGTGCATACAACGCCTGACACAAATCTCAGGACCCAGGAACAGAGCCATTGCTTGAGAAGGAGGGCAGATATTACCAGCCACTTTCTTCTGTCTTCCCCCAGTGACCACCTGTGAGGGTCTAAGCATTTATTTTTATAGATATTTAAAACATTTATCCTGCTGTTCTGGTTGAAAGCAGCTCATGCAGTCAACAGTATTTATATGGACTCGTCTTGACATGACTAGAGCCATCTTTTGTTACAACCATCGTGATTGTCTCTGAATAACGATTGAGTTTTTCTGCATAGTTTCTCAGCAGATTATAAATGTATAAATTATTAGAGCAATCTCTGGGGGCTTTGGAATGTGTCTGGTTCTGACACTAACTTAAGACAGCCGAGATGAAGTCAATTTTGCCCTAGCCCATACATATGTCCAACTTTGTTGAGGACCCAGCTGTTCTTCCTACAACCCTATTCAATAAGCACCACCATCACCCTGCAAAAATAAAGTACATCCACGTAGACACAGGTCTGTCTGTCTGTCTTTCTTCAGAGTCACAGGGCCATGGGGCTAGTCTAAAATTGGGCTGTTGGGAGAAGGTATCACACTCACTCTCCTTGAATTTCTAAGGGAAATCGTGTAACTGGATATTTTCTTCAAAACCAAAGACATCATGGTATGATTTTTAAATTCCTAAAGAACACAGTTTATTCCAATGTAGACTTCATACCAAAGATGTTTTACCCACTGTTAAGGGAACCATTAAATTGTCTAAAATGTCTTTGGGGTTTGTCCCTGTTTGGTGTGGTTAAGGAATGACAGGAGCCTCTGAGAGGCCGAGGAACAAAGGAAATATCAGCCATAAACTCAGGCCTTCCCTTCAACTGCTCTGATAATCTTTGTATTGCTATAATATATTAGATTATGCTCTTATAAAACACACATTTGAGGGTAAAGTGAATGACTAGGGGCAACCTCCATATAAGCAAGCCAAGTGGAGAATCAGAGTAAGAAAAAAAATACACTTTATTCCAGTGAGAACGCTAAGAGGAGCTTCAGAACCCCTGAAAGGAAGTGAAAAAACCCTGGGTGGAGGGCAGAAAAGAAAACACCGATGCAGATAAGTAACTGATGAGTGCAGTCTAAGTCATGCTGATCCCCAATGGGAGGAAGGAGCAACTTCCATTCACAGGGCAAGCCTGCACCTCTCACAAGGTTCAAATGCAGTTGTAGGTTTAGCTGAGACAATAATTCCTCATTTGGATGGGTCAGTGGTGGAGACATCTACTAGTTGGGTAGCCATAATTTGACTTGCCACAACCTCTAGGTGAGGGAAGTTGATGAGTTGTGGAGGGCTGGACACTGATGAGTTGAAGGTTCAAATTGCAGGAGGTTATCTCAGGCTGAGACATGCATAAGACGTATAGCCCTGTCCTCAGTGACCACAACCAATCCCATCAACTGAGAATAACCCTGGGTTTGATAGTTCTGAGCCTGAAGCAAGCAGACAGATCAAATCCTAGAGCCAGCTGTTGTTCACTGCCATAGGGCCCAAGACCTCTGAAGTTCCAAGAGTTTCCAAGATACCTACATACTGACAAAAAGCAATGGGGGGGGAGGAAATGATCTATTTTAGCTTACAATCCAAGTCTCAGTCCATCATAGCAGGGAAGTCACTGTGGCAGGAGTTTGCACATCCATGGTCAAAGACAGAGAAATAAATTCATTCCTTGCTTGCTTAGTACTCAACCAGCTTCCTCTACTCTTACACAGTCCAGGGCTCAGCACCTGAAATGGTGCCATCCACATCCAGGGTGGGTCTTTCCACGTTAACAACCAAGACAATCCCCCGTACACATGCCACACGCAGATCAACATTATCTACATAATTCTTCATGAGACAATCCCCCGTACACATGCCACACGCAGATCAACATTATCTACATAATTCTTCATGAAGCCTCTCTTCCCCAGTAAGTTAAGTTATGCCGTGTTTCCAGTTAAAGTAACCAACACAATAACCACAGTGGCTTTCCCCCACCAGGGTGATTCACACTCAAGAGGTCTTGAAATTATGAAGACAGGTCCTCTGCTTAAACCAACCTCAGTGCTGTGGTTTCCTCCCACACTCCCAACATATTTAGAAAACACCCTCCAGATAAAACATAAACTGCCCTAGGGTTACATTCTGGCAAGTCTTAGGAGGATGAGAGAATCTGCCCAATCACAGAAGAAAACCTATGAGGCCCATAGAACCTCTACTCTGCAAAGAATGGGAACTGTGAAAGCAAAAGACAGTGCAGATGAATGTCACACACCTGCCCAGTACAGGTACAATACAGGATGTCACACACGTGCCCAGTACAGACTCAATACTGGCATAACTCATAGGAAATATAAGAGTCTACAGCTCAACTGGTCCTCCCCCATCTCTATGCATATTTAAAATGGGGCTATCAAGAGAATACAAACATCTGAATTAAATAAGGAGCATGATACATGAAAATAAAAAGGAATTCAATACAGATATAGAAACATTGAAGAAAACCCATAGTGAACTACTGGAAGTCCAAACTATAACGAGGCAAATTAAAAGTTCTACAGAAAACCTCACCAGTAGAATCAGCTAATGGAAGGATAGCTATCTGGGCTTGAAGGTAAGGAACAGGGACTAGCACATGGCAAGGACAAAGATGAATTAAAGAAAAGGCCTGAGTTGGACTTTTGAGCTATTCAGAACACTGAGAGAAGATAAAAAATCTAAGAATCACAGCTGTAAAAGGGGTGAAGGATACCTTGCCAAATGCATAGAAAACATCTCCAATGAAATCCTAGCAGAAATTTTCCCCGCACTAGGCAAAGAATCATCTATTCAGATAGAAGAGGCATTTTAACACCAAATACACAAGACCTGGAAAAAAAACTTCATCTTGTCATATTGTAATTAAATCACTATTCACAACAAAAAAGTGTAAAAAGCAGCAAGAGATAAACATCAAGTCACACACAAAAGCAAAAAGCAACGATGAGCTTTCTCTCTAGACCTCTCTTCCTATTTTATTTCACTGAATCAGAATAAAACTACAAATAAACAGCAAACATTGATGAACTCATGGAGATTAAATAGCTCACTACGTAGACAGACCAGGCTGGCCTCAAACTATCAGAGACAGCTCTGCCTCTGGCTCCCAAGTGCTAAAAAAAGGTGACCACCACCACACGTAGCCTCAGATGTTTCTCCTGATAGATGCTCTAAAGAGATTTTCCCTCTTAAGTTAAAGGGTATTAAACATACACAAAGGGCTAAAGAGTCAGCTCAGTGGTTAAGAGCACTTGCTGCTCCTGCAGAAAACCCAGGTTCAGTTCTCAGCACACACACGGTGGCTCACAAGCATCTGCAACTCCAGTTCCAGGGGATCTAATGTCCTCCTCTGACCTCCATGGGCACTGCATGTGTATGTAGTACACACACACAATACATACAAGCAAAACACTCATGAATGCAAAATAAAACAAATCTTTAAAGAATTAAAGGAAAATAATGAAAGAAGAAGCTAACATCTCTAGTAAGACATAAATTTACATCTATAGTCTGTATGTCTCGGTCCACTGGAAATGGACCGAGTTAAGCCCTCATTGGAAGCATCCCCTACTCCTCCCCCACCACACACACACCCGTGGTCAGTGCTAAAGGGCTGGATGAATCTCCTGGGAGGAGGAATCCTTTTGGAAATATCTACTCTATCTAACTGAATGGACTGCAGCAGTTTGGAAAGCCCCATGTCACCTTTGCCCTCTACTTCCCATTGTGCTCCGAGCCTCGTTCCTTCTTTTAGAACTAGCATGTTGAGTATTATGTAGTCAAAGAACAGCATTATGAGCTGTAACCTGGGACTTCCTGGTTCTCTTACTTTTATAAACAGCAAGGCAGGGCAGGGGACAGCGAGCAGTCTGAAGGCCAGTTGGGTCTGCCTACAGAAAGGATGAAGCCTTGCACTACTGTCTTCTTCTTCATTCTTGCAGCTGCTCTTGGATTCCAGGCTGGGATTGTATGTGGTGAGTCCCAGGGTAACTGGAAGTCGGGAGAGAAGACCCCAGAAGGGCAGCATTGATTGCTGAGAATAATCTCTACCCCAGACAGAGCAATGGCATTTACTTAACAGTACACAAGTACAGGCCTGCCTCAGTCTGCGGACTCTGGATCAGTGGGTCTCAACCTACAGGCCCATATCGGATATTCTGCATATCAGACACTTACAATTCATAACAGTAGCAAAATTGTAGTTATGAAGTAAGGTTGAAAATAACTTTACAGTTGGTGGTCACCACCCACTGAGGAACTGCATTAAAGAGGTTGAGAGCCATTGCTGTGGATCCACCGATGACTTGCTTCCATTTGGAGAAATGATAATTTTCCTTTTCCATAGCTAGAATTATTTGATGGCTTAAGATAATCTTAGCCAATGTTTTAACTAGCTCAAATGAACTGTAATTAAACTGTAAATTTGTGAAAATAAACAAGAGTTCTGTGATGCTATAACTGATCAACATCAGTTAGTATAAAACCATCCTTTTTAAGGCATTGGGACCAGCAAGCAAATGGCTCACCAAGGTCACTGTCTCATTTGAAGCATGGTATTTTGGTTTATGGAAGTGACTAGGACTCAACACAGATCCTGTAAAATAAAAGAATATATTCTTTAACTTTTCCAAAGAGGAGAGGTACATCATACATCATACCCCACAGAGCCAAGGAGAATACTGGACTTGGGTCAGGAAGTATAAGCAATAGAAATAGAGGTACGGTACTGGTTTCTGGCTGGGGATACAGGGAAAGAGGCAGGGCACAGGGTAGGGCACAGCTGAGACTTCCTAGTCTAGCAGACTTTGAATATATGATGGTCTCTAACTGCCTAGGACCTAGCTGTAAGAAGAGCAAGGGCAAGGGGAAAGCCAGCATGGCCTTTGAGAGGGAGACGAAGGCAGTGATGGGCTCAACATGAGTGGGTTTGAACCCTTTGTTCAGAAGCAGTTAACCTCTCCCTGCTGTCCCGATCTTAAGCAGTCAGAATACTAAGATGCAGAAAACAATAGAGTCACCTAGCCATTCTATTTATCTCACAAGAATGCACTTAGCACTCCCTATTGCCAGGTAGCTATTGTTTTCTGCCTTACAGAAGCTGATTCCTTCCTCCTCCAGCATCCCTGAGGGGCTGGACACATGGAAATTCACCATTCTTGGTAGGGGGAGCAATTCTGCATATTGTATATTATTATGGTCATGCTCCTTTTTGCAAATGAGAAAACTGAGACAGAGAAGCCTTTAATAGCTTAAGACTACACAAGTAGTAAAGGATCAAACGAAGAGGTGAATTAGTAGTGATGCACTTAAGAAATGGCAATACCTGTTAAGATTTACTTTGGAAGCCCACCCACATCACATCAAGCATGTTTAAAAAGAAAGTAGCCACACATCTTACTACATATTGTTTGAATGCAACTATTGAAGACATGATATAAAGGGCTAGTTGCCCTTTCTTAGCACAATGCAAATTCCAAGTCCTTTAGCAACAATCTTTGGGCTTAGATATGTTTAGAGATGCAGGATTATTCTGTGTTTTAAAAACTTATATGTTTGGGAACTGAAAGTGACATGCATAAAAAATTAAATAAAAATATATGGAAAAAGTTTTATGTTGCTGGATATCAAATGACATCCCTGATGATTTCTTCAGAGCATGCCTTCATCAGACATTTATATAAACTCAGACTATTAGGAGCCTAATTTCACTGCAAAGGACTTTGTGTCCCCAGAGGAGATGAGGAAAAATGTGCAGCTTCCAAATCCCTAAAGATTCCAGAAATGTAACAAAAGCTGTGAATGTACTCCCATATGTAGATACGTCATTGATGTCACCATATTACATTTGTATTTCACTTGTAGTACTTCGGAGTCAGAAGAATGTTTTCAAATGACCCCAGAAAAATCTCATGTCACCAAAAGGGACTAATGGGCCTAGACAGACCTTAGAACCTAAGTGTGTGATGGCGGTCCAGCATCGGGGCCTGTCTGCCTAGGTGAGAATGGGTGTGGTGAGTGGAGATGCTGACACCGCTCTCTGCACTGTTTCTTCCAGCATCGGATACAGAAGAAGCCCTGAAGGCAAAGCAAGGACTTGATGAACCTCTAGTGCTTCCCCTGGGTAAATATTACATTACAGCTTATATTGAGAAGCACCAGATGGTTGCAGATGGTGCCAGAACATCATCCTCCCTGATGACAGAACCGAACAGGGTCATGAGGGTGGCTGAGGATGCTCTGAGAAATCACCAGGGATGTTAAGGAAATTCCAGCAACATTCCCAGGAAGATCAGGATGGGTCATGAGTATTCCCTCCAGTATTCCCTTCTCTAAGCACTGAGTCTGCCCACTTGGGGCAGAAGTTGCCTATAGGCAACTGGGCATGGCTTCCCTTCTATGGACATGCTCCCAGCCCTGCTATGATCCACCTTGGGCCCATTAGAGGGTGTGAAAGGAGATAACAATAAGTGCAGGGGGAGGAGAAAGCATCTCCTGAGTTTTGAGCCTTCTCACCTACTCTGGTACACCGCCCCCACCACCACCACCCCCGCTCACGCACACACACAGAGCACTCTTGAGAGCAAAGACTTGGCCTTTGAGTGACCCTTTCTCCCTCTACAGGCTTTGCAGAGCCTTTGGACTGCTGCTTCTCCTATACCTCATGGATCAAGTGTTCAAATATTGTATATTATTTCTACACCAGTGGTACTTGTATCAAGCCAGGCATCATGTAAGTATAAAATTCACTCACTGTATTGGGAGTGAAAGAGTCTCTAGGACATTAAAGGACTTAATAAGTATCCAGGAAAGTCCCATCCTTGGATCCTGCCAAGTGATGGGGAGGATACTTCAGGGTGACCAGATCACTCCAAGAGTCATTAGGAAATCTCATAGACCTAGAGAGGGCCTTAGAGAGGAAATGGCTTGAGCTACCTCCTGCAAAGAACAGATTGTTGAGTGGAAAATCGGAGGGTCCAGAGGATGGGGCTCCCCTTCCCTGTTTACTAGAGACCTCTGTTTGTAATCTTTCTTCTCCTTTTACTTCAGCTTTGTCACCAAGAAGAGGAACCAGATCTGTGCCAACCCCAGTGATCTGAAGGTTCAGAAGTGCATAAAAAGCCTAAAGCAAAGCTCGTGATCACAGATCTGCAAATCATAACTTGCTTGAGAAGGAAGGCATGTACTGGCAGCCACTTTCTTCAATCTTCCCCATTGACCACCTAGGAGGCTCTAAGCATTTGTTTTTATTAATACACAAAATGTTTTTCTGTTCCGGTTTACAGCAACACAGCTAACTTTGAAACAGAGGGGGAACTTGTCTGTGCCAAGCCAACCCCAGTGATCTGAAAACTGAGAAGTGTGTGAAAGGCCTGAAGTTGACCTCAGTGACTACAAATAACGTCTGGAGGGATGACTCAGCAGTTAAGAACACTGGCTGCTCTTCCGGGGGACCGGGGTTCAATTCCCATTCACATTGCAGTGCAAACTATCTGCAGTTCTAATTTCAGGGGATCTGATGCCTTATTTGCCCCTTAATTAATAGTATTTTTATGAATTCAGCTTCATGTGACTAGTGCCATCTTGATCTGGAACCATCATGATTGCCTCAGAATAACTCTTGGGTTTTCCTGCATGGATGAACCTTGAGAGTGGTCTGTGGGTTTGGGAATGTGTCTGGTTCTGATGTCAGCTTAAGGCAAGCCAGGTACATTCAACAAGAATGAAATCAATTCTGTCTGAGCCCATACACAACCCTGTCTTTGTGGGGACCCAGTTGATCTTCCCACTGGCCCTAGATCAGGAAGCCCCCTAATAAAGATCATCCATGCAACCACAGACCTGTTTGTCTCTTTTTTTTCCATTTTCATAAGACTATGGGCTGAAATTGGGCTGTTGAGCAGGAGGTATCTCACTCACTCTACTTGAATCTCCAGTAGGGGGTCGAAAACAGGGGGAAATCACATAACTTTGTATATTTTCTTCAAAACAAAAGACATCATGGTATGATTTTTAAATTTCTAAGAACACAGCTAATTATGATTTAGACATCATATCAAAGATGTATATTACCCACTACTGAGCAAACCACTAAACGTATCTAAAAACCTTTGAAGGTAATCCTTGTTTGATGAGGTCCTAAATGCTAGTCAATTGATCAGTTTTACACTAGCAACATGCTATTTTTATTACCAGGACTCTGTAAATGATAATCCCTTCATCACTGTTTCTATTGTTCAGGCCTTTAATCATGAAGAGCTGTTGGATTTTGTCACAGGCCTTTTCTGCATCTCCTGAGATGGCTGTGTGGTTTTGTAATTAAATCCATTTATGCAGTGGATTGTATTTATTGATTCATGTTTGCTGAGCCATCCCTGCAAGTTCGGGATGAATCGCTTTATGATCTCAGAAAACAGCTTTTTCTTAGTCCTCATTTGCTTATGTCACACTGTTAAAGTTTGATGCCTGTGCAATCTGTGACCCAAGAGAGAGGGCCCACCCCACGCTTCTCTACCTCCTGGTCAAGTCCGCACCTGAAGCCACGTCCAAAGGGGTGGCCACTAACACATAATCACTGGCAGAGCCAGATGCTGCTACACCTACTTGATTCATCAAGAATCCCATTTAGATTTTTTACTTCTCCATAATTTTTTCTACTGACCAACAGAGAATGCTGGGTTTTGTTTTACTATTATTCCATGTTTCCAGTCACACCATGGACTTCATGGTAAGTACTTCATTCTCAGGGAAAGTTCTTCCAGGACCTCCTAACTTTCCATTTAATTCAGAGGAATTATGCTATGCCTGCCAAAAACAAAAGCCTATCATACTGGAAAACCTCATGCCAGAGTTCATTCCCTATGATAGGAAGCCCACAGGGTCTCTCCCATGGGCTCAGTTTTCATTTTGCAAGAGTATACCCTTGAACTTCTTCCTTCTGTACAGGATGACAAAGGCAAACACTGTCCCTTGTGCCCATGGGATGCAGGCTAGGAACATTCAACTCCCCAGCTGGTCATGCTTATATTCCCTTTTAGCACTTCAAGCCTGGCACCAGTGTTACAGACAAATACAAAAAGAACGGACTGTTTTTTTAAAAGACAGACCCCGCCCTTCCAGGCCCTAACCTCCAGCAACCCCAGCTTCAGATGAGCTTGGGTCTCCGTGGGGCCACTCTCCATCCCCTGCCCAACACCCAACCCCTCAATCTTCCTGGCCCCACTGCTGGCAACCAGAAGACCCGCCCACACAGGAAAGGCATCAGCCCTTCCAGGCCCCAACCTCCAGCAAGCACAGCTTCAGCTTCAGTGTCAGTGTCCCCAGCTTCAGCTTCAGGAAAGAAGGAGACCAGTGGAAATGGAAAGACCCCACCTGCACCCACTAGAAGAAGAGATGGGAAGAAGACAGAATAAGAGCTCACTCAGCAAAAGAAAGACCAACATGACTCCACCAGAATCTAGAGAACCAATACCAGCAAGACCTGAAAGGCACTATACAGATGAAGCAGAGGAGACAGACCTTAAAAATTATTTTATGAAGATGATAGAGACCCTCAAAGAGGAAATGAGGAAATCCCCTAAAGAAATAGAAGAAAAAACAAACAAGAAAATCCATGAAATGGGGGGAAATTTTTCAAGAAATAAAGAAATCTGTCAAAGAATCTAAAGAGTACCAAGAAAAAACAACCAAACAAATGAAGGAAACAACTCAAACAGTTGAAGGATTGAAAGCTGAAATAGAAACAATAAAGAAAACACAGAACGAGGGGATTCTGGAAATAGAAAAGCTGGATAAACGATCAGTAACTACAGATGCAAGTATCACCAATAGAAAACAAGAGATAGAAGAGAGAATCTCAGGTGTTGAAGATTCATTAGAGGATATACAGTCGTCAACCAAAGAAAATCTCAAAACCAACAAATCCCTAACACAAAATATCCAGAAAATATGGGACACCATGAAGAAGCCAAACCTGAGAATAATAGGTATAGAAGAAGGCGAAGAAATACAGCTCAAAGGTACAGAAAACATATTCAACAAAATCATAGAAGAAAACTTCCCTCACCTAAAGAAGGATATGCCTATGAAAATACAAGAATCTTACAGAACACCAAATAGGCTGGACCAGAAAAAGAAGTCACCTCGCCATATAATAATCAAAACATCAAACCTACAGAATAAAGAGAAAATACTAAGAACAGCTAAAGAAAAAGGCCAAGTAACATATAAAGGCAGACCTATCCAAATTACACCTGACTTGTCAATGGAAACTCTGAAAGCCAGAAGATCCTAGACAGATGTCCTACAAACGCTAAGAAAACAAGGATGCCAGCCCAGACTACTATAGCCAGCAAAGCTTTCAATTACCATAGATGGAGAAAACAAAATATTCCATGACAAAGCCAAATTTAAACAATACTTATCCATGAATCCAACTCTACAGAAATGTTGGAAGGAAAACCTAGACTCAACGAAGATAACTACACTCACAAAGTCACAGGCAATAGATAATCCCACTTTACCAAACACCAAAAGAAAAAGGAAGGAGAACCTACACACAATAACTCCACTACCAATAAATCAAGCACAAACAAGAATCATCAATCAATGGTCACTAATATCCCTCAATGTCAATGGTCTCAACTTGCCTATAAAAAGACACAGACTAGCAGAATGGATACGAAGACAGAACCCATCCTTCTGCTGCATACAAGAAACACATCTCAACGTCAAAGACAGATGTTACCTCAGAGTTAAGGGTTGGGAAAAGATTTTCCAATCAAATGGACCCAAGAAAAAAGTGGGTGTAGCAATCCTAATATCTAACAAACTAGACTTCAAATTAAAATCAATCAAAAGAGACGAAGAAGGACATTTCATATTCATCAAAGGAAAAGTCTCCCCCTTTTCTATATAGTAAAAGAAGAGAGCAATTGGGTGAAGTGCCTGTCTTAGGTTACCTGGTGGGCTTCCAGTTCTGGACATGGCGAGAGAGGATACGAATTAAGTTTTTGCCGGCAATGTTTAGAGAGCCATGTTTGCTCCCAGATTCTGGCACCAAGCTATCCCCGTCTTAAGCATCTCCACAGCCTGGAGCAGAGTGAACGCGGGCAGTTGGCCAGGTACTCAAACTCCTGAAAGCTCAAAGGTTGGAATGTAGGTTTGTCTACAGCCTCAGGTTCTTCGGGGTCTTGTTGAGAAAGCTGCTGATAGTGAACCTGAACTGAATTTTTGGTAGCCTCATCAACCTGATTTTTAACAAAACCAGTAAGGTGACGAAATGCCCAAGGACCAAAGGAAATAAGTAACATGAAGCCAATAAAGGGTCCTAACAAACTAGGCAGCAAAGTCGATAGCCAGGGGGAGGTAGAGAACCAATTTTTGTACCAAGATTCACTTTGATCCAAATTTCTTTTTGTTTCTTCCAGACTCTGTTCAACTCTTCTGATACTATCTCTAACTAATCCTGATTTGTCTTTGAAAAAGCAACATTCCTCTTTAAGGGTGGCACAAACTCCCCCCTCCCGCAAAAAGGCGAGGTCGAGACCTCGGCAGTTTTGTTGTACCACTTCAGCTAAGGAACCAACAGTCTGTTCTAAGTAATCTAAACCTCTTTTTAGCTCATCTACGTCTCTAATAACAGTGCGGGTTAGAGCATTAACAGAGTCCTTTGTGTGGATTAGGGAGTAAATTCCTGTGCCAGCTCCTGCTGCACCCAGACCAACCAATATGACTAATGTGAGGGCGGTGACCGGCTCTCTTTTTTGGCGAGAGAGAGTTACAGTTGGATCACTTTGGGGCAATAAATCAGATTCAGGGCAAACAGTCAATTTGGGCACGAGTACAACAAGGACACAGTAGTCCTTGTGCGCAAGAAAAACATCTACAATAATATGCAGGGATAACCCTGTGGAGCAAGCAAAAAAGGTGAGGTTGGGGGGCAATAAGGAAGGAAGCATGAGCAGCAACTTGCATGGTTTGAGTACATGCTTCTAACAGCGGGGTGGGGGGAAGCATACATGGTCCCAAAAGGCAGAGTCCAGATCCCACGACCTGTCCTAAGGTCATGCCACGTGGTTGTGGCTGCGTGCCCCAGAGAAGCAGATTGGTGTCGTTGGTGTAGATGGGTGAGCCGAAGGCTGCAATACCTTCGTAGAATGGAGGGATGGGCGAATAGCAAATCCAGCAGCGCTCATAGGTGGTGTTGGAGAGTGCCTGGGCCGAGGCGTTGACCATCTGAAGGATGAGGTCCGCGGTGGAGACTGGACAGGCGGGCATGGTGGGTTGATAAACAGTGGTGGTGGCAGCGGGAGCTGGAGAATGGAGATTAGGAAGAGGGCGAGGGGCGGCAGCCTTGGGTAGGAATGAGCCACCACCAGAGGGGTATAAAAAAGGATTGGGGCCAACAGCAATAGGGCGAAAGGAAGGGATTTCTTTCAAAAGTCTAATGGAAAAGGTGAGGCCTGGGTCCGTGCCAGAAACATATAGGCGTAGACCCCAGTAAGCGCCTCGGGAACCTTCCCAGAGGAACCTTTTTCCTGCAGCCGTAAACTGGATATGGAAAAGGTTGTACCAACTGCGTAAACAAAGGGGATTAAGTGGTGGTGGGCCAGAATTAAGCTGTCTGGCCAGGGGATGTAAGGAGGGAAACTAAAATTCAAAAGGAGAAATGGAAGAAGTAGCAGGCGATGTGGTGTTATCTTCACTGGGAGTTTTGTTATCAACAGCATCTGAAAGAGAAAACAGGAGATTCCTCAGGGGCTCTTTCCCTGGGAGGGTTATAAAGCTTGACCAGCGCGTTCCTCCATTGTTGGTGTTATGAACGCAAGCATGTTCTT